TAATTCAACATCATACCATCAAACACCAATCGTCCACTAGTATCCTTCTTCGCTTTTGGGATACGGGATTCTTTAGCCGCTAAAAAACTCCATAGTGGCAAAAAATGTTGATAGTTTCCTCAAAAACCAACGTTTCTTTATCATTTCCTCCTTCTCTTCATCAAGTTCCATTTCATCATCAACTTCTTCCTCATCCTCAGCTTCCTCTTCCTCTTCATCAGATGCATGAAATTCCAAAAGGTCTGCATCCTGCTCTTGGAGAAATTTGTAGAATTCTGGGTCAGTTTCCTTCAATCTGAAAATGCGCTGACATAATTCAACATTCCCCCATTTGCGAACAGGTACCCGAAGTTTAAAAAATTTTAGCAGAGTGTAATTAGTACAGTAGACTTGCAAAGTGAAACAAATTGAAAAGATGGTTATCCCACTTTGGATTACGACGGTTTAAATACCTTCTGGGCCCGAACGTGAAAAAGCGCCTTTTACGAACGATAAAATGATCCATGGGATTTTAGCTTTATCATAACTAGCACTTCTGCCGGTGGCCTTTGATCGTGTGTTATAATATCTGGGAATGTCCTTGAACAATTTGAGGCTGAGGCTATTCTGTATGGATCCCTTCAAACGCCCCCATAAAACTCGAATTTGATCACCGAGTTTTTTCATGTTAAGACACTGATGCCCTCAAAGTGCTATATCCACTTGAAGATGGATAACTCCAAACTGCAGTTTAACAGTTTTAGGCGTGATCAAAAAGATTTGATGACCTAATACGTCAATATCGCTTTACTTCTTATTAGCGGTAATCAAAACCAAGGTCGACAAGCCATCAAAATCCGTAAATATCTGTTCATCGTTTTTTCATGAGTGTACAATGCGATAAGTGGTGCGGGTCAGGGACGATTAACCTTTCTAAGTTAGTGGACTTTTAGATTAATTGCACTCTATGTAAGGAGAGTTCATCCACAAGTGCGCACTACCGAGTATAAGTGAAAAGGTGCTTACTTCTGTAGATTTTCCAGATGTTTCTTCGCAGACTTGCTCTCGGGTGCACTTGTAGCTTCTTCGTCTGACACTAAAAAGCTCATATAGAAAGTAAAACCTACAAAATAAACTACAATTCTTCGGCTCTTTTAAGCATAGCTCACAGCAGACTACTACACATAAAAACGAGGAATGCAGTTTTTGCGAACTCCAACAATGTGGTAAATTTGTCGCATAGCCATATCCGGGGGGCGGGCGTTAGGTACCCAGCCATCAATGGTAAACACTAAGCCACGCCCCTTGGTTGCTTAACAGCAGGTACCTAACGATACACCGAATCCTGGCTGCTAGAACAGCTCAATTGGCTCGCTAAAACGCTGACGCTTCCTCACAGAAAAAAGAAAATCAGGAAAAATTGCGCGAAAGAGTGCAAGTATGCACACAACGTTTCTTCTGCTGCTTCTTTTTTTT